AGAGAGAGAGAGAGAGAGAGAGAGAGAGAGAGAGAGAGAGAGAGAGAAGAGGAATACGAACGTCTCATGAATATCAGCCCAAGGCAAGCAGGAGTGAGCTGTTCAAAGATGAAAGTGCAGAGAAATAAAAGCCCAATTTAATCTGCTTTAAAACCCTTCGACTTAACGTTTGTGCTTCAAACTCTGAGAGTGAGGACTGATTGCGGATAAATAGTTTCTTACCATGCCTCGAAGCTATTACACCCCTCTCCAACACAGTTCCCTATTCAGCAGCCCCACTTTTCATTACCAGCTCTAATAAGTCTTAGCATTATTAAATGCCAAGCAGACGATAGAAAGAAACCAGCGCAGGGAGGAATCTCTCCTTAGCTCTTAAAGAGGAGAGCTCTTAAGCCCCTTCTTTGTCGACTTCCCACGAGGAGAGGAGCAACCCCCCGAGAGGGCATTTGTCACAAGAGAAGCCAAAACAAAGTTGTGGCTGTCTTCCATCACTACCCCCCGCGCCCTCCACGCACCCCTGGTGCCCTAGCTCTCCTTTCTGTCCAAGTCTCCCCTCCGCCGTGGCCAAGTCAGAGAAAGGCCGCAGATTTGGGACTGAACCCTATAGCTGACTGTGGGGAGGGGGAACCCCGAAATGGCCTGATTTGGCAGGGTTCAGAAATAAAGGGTTACAAATCAGGTCCACGCGCCGTGAGCCCTGGCTACGTCCAGACTCACTCACCCACTCAGAGCCAACGCACCCTCCCCCAGCCACTAGGACACACTCCGTTGCACAGCTCCGGCCCCACACTTGCTCCTTTCGTTAGTAAGACAATTTATTCGGGATTTGAGTTATCCCCACGGAATCGCCTGCATTTCTTTCCAGATCCCTTCCTTCTCATGCGTAACAGAAAGGCAGGGTCCATCGTTCACCCCAAGCTCGGGATAAATAGGATCCTCCCAGCACCTTTTCCCTCCCCCTAGCAACCCCAACTCTTTACAGGTCTTTCAGGGGAAACCTCTGTCTAGCGAAGGCAGTTCGGCAGTTGGTACGCGGTTAGCGAAGGTCATTGGGAACTGAGGTCACCAGCTCCCACCCTCCTGATCAGTCTCTGCTTTGGCCCCTTTCCCATCCGCGCGCCCAGCAACGAAATGAAATCTCCGTACTTGGAGATTTCCCTCCTGTGCCACCAACCCTGAGGCCCTCAAACCTGCTACCTGGGAACAAGAGTGCCGGCCCTGAGACCTAAGCAGCAACCTTCCTGCGAATACTTCCTCTTGTTCGAACTTAAAAGATCCCTTGCTTTAGCCAGCTTCTCAAACTGAGATCTGCTTCGTGTACGGAGATGTAAGGGAAGATGGAGGGGAAATGGGTTTTTGTTTCGGCTGTTGGACTTTTTCCACCAGCAAGAAATACGAAGTTTTTTTTTTTTAATCGCAGACACACATAGTCCTCTCACCTCCACCCTATCCTCTGGGGGTGGGGTGGGGGGGAACAAAAAACCCAAAACCAAAAACTGAAAAATAAAAAACCAAGCCCACAGCCGGCCCTTAGAGACAGAGTGTGCCCAGGCTCTTCCAGGATACAATATTTCGAAGCGTCCGGGGCCTCAGGCGGGTGCCCGAGGGGCCTTAGAATATTCCCCGGCACTCTGGGAGCAGCGGGGAGCGGCAGAATAGCTTAGCTCCCTTTCTTCGCCTCCTCCCTGGCCCTTTGTCCAAGAGCTGCGCGGCTGCTCGCACGTTTTTGAATGTCAATAGCCCGCCCCTTCCCCCGCTCCCCTCCCCAGGACTTGGGCTCTTTCCCTGAGTTCCCCAGTCGCCCTCCTTCTTGTACTGGGACTGCCTTTGTGGGACAGGATCTGGGCTCGGGAGGCGGCAACAAGCTAGCGGGCTTTGTCTCTGAAGTTCATCTTCAAGGTTGGAAGGCAGAGTCAACAGCGGGCCTGATGAGTTGGGGGCGGTTAGGGGAGAAGGGGACTGCTCAAAACAAACGTCTGATCGAGGAGTTTAAAAGTTTTCTCCCTAACTCCTTTTTCTGCTTTCCTCAAAGTCTCGCAGCAGCAACACAGAGAAAGAAATCAGTCTGTCTCCTTGTCTTGCCAGAATTGTCTTCTACCTTCTTTCTTTCTTTCCGCCAATTCACACGTACCTCTTCTGATCTCTACCTTTCTATACATTATTTTCACCATCTCTACCCACACGCTCTAGTCTCATCTACTGTTACAGTCTCCTCTCTGTCTGGAAGAGGAATCTGGAATAAGACAGGCACTCTCCGCTCTTCCTACCCCTCAAATTCAAGATTCCTTTTCTGGTGAGCGCGTCTCCCAAGAAAAATCTTCCCCAAGTCCGGTGCAATCCGGAGATGCCAAGCGGAAAATGAGCCACAGGGCTTGGAGTTGGCGCGTCGGTTTCTAACAACCTAGGGTTCGGAGTGAGGGGAGCAGAGCCTGGCATGGGGCGGGCAGGCCCATAGTCCTGCTGTCTCGCCCCTAATATATGAGCTGGGCTCGAGACTGTCCCACATATCCGGATTAGCCTTTCCCTTTATCCCAGGACAGGGTCTGAAACTTCGACACAGGTTGTCTTCACTTGCCTAGGGCCCACCCCAAATGGGCTTCTTCCCGAGGGAGGGGAGACCTGGGCTTTCCCCACCCCTCCAGGCAGGCCGGCGATCTGCTCAGCTCGGCCCCGGCCAGGGAGAGGTACCGGATTCCCCCGCGCTCTCTAATTGATATTGATTGCACCGATCACTCAACTGTCAGGAGGAGTTTCAAGGGACCGTTTAGAGAGCAGTAGAAAAAGCTGTCGAACAAATTCATTTAGAGAGCCGCGATACGCAACCCCCACCCCCTCCGCTGCCCTACCCTAGCCCCCCCTTCGCCTTCAGTTTCCTATAAATAATTGATCGAGACCCAACTACCCGCGAACATGCCAACGCCTTCCTAGACTCACGGCGGGGAAGGAGGATAGAGAAGGGAGATCTGACTGACCCCTACTTCTCTGGAGTGGGGGGGGGGCTTCACAAAGCTCGCTCCAAACCCAACTTCCTTCTGAATTCCTGAACTTCACTCCTCTGAGAAAATAGACTATAATAGGAGGTGATAACAACGACGGCATAGAGACATATTCTTGCCTTCATTCAACAACCAGTAATAAAAGCAATAACGTGGGGTAGGAGGAGAGAGAGAGCCCTGTTTTCCAGATCCAAATATATTCATTCTCCCCTCCCCCGACAATTTCTACCCTATACAATCCGGCTGCTTTAGCCCTAATCCCTCAATAACAGTCCATCCCTTCTTAGCGCTTGGGGGATACAAAGCGCTTTACACCCATTAACCATATTTGGCTCTTATATAGCCTTTAGAATTTTTTCAGGGACTATCTTTTCACATAATCTTGAGAGTTGGGTAGTGCAAGTAAGCCCTTTTAAGGAGAAGGAAGCCGAGACTCTGACAGGTTAAATGACTTGTCTGTGGTCATCAAGCAAGCATTAGAGGCCAGGTATACTAACTTCCAAGCCCAGTGCTCTACCTACCACATCCTTGCCTATCTTATTCATTAGGTCCTTTGATCTTCACAACAGGGGGACTGGGGCAAATTCTCTCATACCCATTTTCCAGATAAGAAGAATGAGGTTCCAAGAGGGACAGTGATTTGCCTGGGTTTACTTGGTGATTAATGACTGTGGTGAGACTTGAACTCGGGTTCCTGACTTCCATATCAAGACACGAAGCTGGTGTTCTACCTCTGTCCCCCTTCCTAACACCATACTGGACAAACATGTCTCTCTCTCTCTCTCCGTGCCCTCTTCCCAGAACTCAGGAGCCGGACGCAAAGGCCACCGGAGGAGCCTTTTTCTACCTTTGTCGCCCAGGATACCGTCGATGCTGTGTTTAGCCTTCTTCTCGCCGTCCTCCTCCTTCTTGTCACACTCATCTTCTTCCTCTTTCTTCCCGAATTTGATTCTGAGCACACGGCTAATCGAACTCACTAAACCTCAGAAATTCAAAGGCAAAAGAGAAAGTATAAGTCGTGGAGAAAGTAAACTTTTCCCTCCCCGCCTCCCGTCACCGCCAGGGGCCTGGCCCCTAGAGGGTTTAGGGAAGGAGGGAGGTTCTCAGCTGCCATCCCGCAAGCGTCCCGGGGCGACTCTCACCTTCACAGAGCCTCCGAGAAAGTCATACACACCCAAATATACAATTTACACACACGTGTACCCACGAATACACCCCCAGGTGCACCCCCATATCTTCCCAGTCACATACATACCGTCACACATTTATATGCATCTAAAACCTACATTTATACCTATACAGTCATGCATAGACACACATATTTATATACACACACTCAAACTTACACCTACAGACACTCAGGAACCCATGCACACACTACTCCTTTGTGTTTATATATATACTCGTTTATACCGACACATCTTTATGCACATGCTCCTAAACACACAATTAATATCTGTATCTGTGCACACTTGCAAACACTTGTACACACATCCCAACACATATATGTGTATGTATATTTTATATATATATGTATACACATATATACACATTAACACACATTTCTACATTGATCCCCGACTTCCGCCATCCTTATCTGTCCCTAATCAAACACAGTTAAGCCACCGGTGCACCTAACCCCTCACCCTAGCCTGTCTGAACGCACGAATCCCCGGGGACCGAGGCTCTGGCCTTGGCTCTCAAACGCATCCCCGCGTCTGCATCCCAGACGCGCAGCACTGAGTTCAGGCCAGGCTGAGAGCGCAAAGCGGAAGGCCAGAGCCCGTGGCCCAAAAGATTAAACCGGAAGGCTGTGACCCTTGCGTGCTGGAGCCGGCCGATAGCCTGCAGTGGAGTGGAGCCTGCGGCTGACCCAGGTCAGGGTTTAGGTGTCAGAACCAGGATTCCGGCACTCCTAAGGACACGTTTACCCTGGTCATTTTCCTGCAGCCAGCAATTGAGCCCTATCACAACTTTCTTCCCATACTAAGTTCAGTTCGTTGTATAATAAAAGCTTTTGGGCTCGGGTCCTCCTTTCCCTCTGTCTCTCTCGGTTCTCTCCCTTTCTTCTTTACTCACCTTCTTTAGTTCTTTCAGTATCTTTATCCCCTTTTTCTTTCTTATTGTCTTCTCTGTCTTTCCCAAACTTCTTTCTTCCTCTTTTTTAGAGCTTGTTGGTATATTTTATTTCTCATTCATCCTTGCCTCCCTCCTTTACCAATTCCTCTGTTTTTCTCTACCGTCCCTCTCCCTTCACACAGAATTACCTCCTCTCTCCTAGCATGTCCTATCCTGCTTCCGCCACACACCCTGTATATATTCCTCATCTTTCTGGCAGGAAAGTTCTGGAAATAGAGGGCAAGGGACCCTGGGTTGGTCCAGCTGGTACCCACAGGAGGCTGCATTACCCCTGTCTCTGAGGCACCCAGCCCAGCGAGCTCAGCTGCCTTCTCACCTGAGGGAACCGTGCTCCGGTCACAGTGTCCATCCTTGAGCAGCCGATCGCGGATTTCCCAGCTAAACATCCCAGGGTTTTCTCTTTTGTATTCCTCTATTTTCTTCTCCACGTCTGGAGTGGCTACCTGCTTTAGTGAGGGAATGTCGGGGTAGGACAGGGGAAAGAGTAGCAAAGGAAAGGGGGGAGGAGAGAAATCACTTTCAATATAAACCTAAAATTGGGGCACTCAGATAATGAGGGAAGGGGTCTGGGATTCCCACCAAATCCTATGTAGGAGAGAGAAGCAATGACCCTAGTCATAGATAATCTGAGCTAGGAGGGACCTTAGGGGTCCCTCTTACGTCACAGAAGGAGCAATGGAGACCCAAAGAGGACAGCAACTTACTCAAGGTGCCGTGGAGTTAGTCACAAAAGTAAGATTTGGAACTCCGGGTTTCACAGCTGTGAGTCCCAGCTCTTTCCACTAAGTCACAAAAGCATGGGAGTCAAGAAAACCTGAGTTCCTATCCAATCTGTATCACTTGCTAATAGTATTACCACTGGACCAGTTGCTTGACCTCTTTCAGCCTCAGTTTTCTCAATTGTAAAATGGGTATGATGTGAGGAAAGGGTTTTGAAAATTGTAAAGTGCTAAATAAATACATATGAATTGTTATTGCTGTTATTATACTATATACTATATTATAATGTATATTGTTACATATTATATTATTATAGCTCTAAGGAAAGGAATGGAGGGAGAGAAGGATGGAAAGGGTAAGCCAATATGAGGAAACCCGTATGGCTCCCTGAACCTGGCCCAGATCAGAGAGTAGGTGAGGGCTGGTTGTCATGTTGTTGCCCGGGAAGCCTAGCTCCCTCCAGGCCCCAAGAGGAAATAGGCAACCTGTAGAGGGTGGAGATGCATTCAAGGAGTTGTCTCCAGACAGGGACTCTGGGAATGTTACTCATGCTCTTCCGTCGAGGGCTACCAGCCTTTAAAAGCCTGAATAATCCCGACAAATTGTCTTCAATTATCCAGATTGTGAAGGAAGAAAGGGGATTTTCGGAATAAGGATGCCCATGAGTTATCTAAATATTTGAGATTGTGGATTTAGGGGTTTCTGGAAGTGGAGATTTGGTCTTCATTTCCCTGAGGTGGGGTGAGGGAGACGGTATAGACTTTTTCTTTCCTGCCGTTATCAAACTCTCTCTCATAGATAGGAAATTGGGGTGGTATGGGTTCTTGGGGATGACGTGCGAATTCTTTTCTCCATCAGCACCCCTATATAACTCGCCCTTTGTCGGTGTTTCGGTCAGGGACGTATGACCTTCAAGCCTTGTAACTTGAGGTTACACTCCACTCTCAGATCCTTGAGCTGGTAGGCTGGTGGTTGAAGAACTTAGGGCTCCCCAGGACACTCACCCTGGGCTTACTGCCACCGATGGCCCCAGGCCGGATGGAGCCAGTCTCCTGGTAGCGGCATAGGATTTTGGAGACACAGCCGTGGGAGACACGGAGCTGGCGAGAGATGACGCAGGGCCGGATACCGTGGTGGGCCATCTCCACGATCTTGTGGCGGATGTGGTTGGGTAGGGGCCTGCCGTTGATGAAGACCCCGCCAAGCTGATTCACACGACCTTGGCCAAGTGGGGTGGACACTGTGGGGAAGGTGGGAAGAGAGGAGAATCAGAAAAAGAGGCAGTCCATTACAAAGGTGGAAGGAGGGTAGTTTGGGGTGCAGCTATCCCCTAGGTTCCTAGGGCAGGCGCCTGCCCATAAACCTCGAAAGCATATGTATGCCCTATCAAATTTAGAGGCTGTTTCCCTGTGGGTCCTTAGTTGGACCCTGCCGAGCTTTCTAGATTAGGTTCCGAAGGGTGAAAAAGGTACCTGTTGTGCAGAGGGGAGTACATGTTATATGCCCCCAGTTTCACTATGCAGTGAATGTATGACCCCCCATATCCACGGGCCACGGGTTTTTTTGGTGTGTGTGTGTGTGTGTGTGTGTGTGTGTGTGAAGAGCGCAGGTGGGAGTATCTAATTCAAGTATAGAAGGAAAGAGCTGGTGGTGATGGCGGTAGGGTGGGGTGGAGTGGGTGGGGATCGTCGTAGATAAAGTTGAAGGACCCGGGGGCGGGGGGAAGGCCCCAGACTCTTTCACTTGCTGCTTGCCTGCACGCGATCTATACTCACACCAGATCCACTGGGCTGAGAACTAAGGATCTCTACTCCCTGGTTTGGCTTGGCCCGGAACAACTCAGAGAGAAGGCCGATTTTTTTTTTTTTTTTGGGGGGGGAGCAAGGAGAACGCCAGTCACGATACTTGGGCCCAAAGGAATCCCTTGGGATCTTCTGTTCCAGATTGGGAGGTCTGAACAAACCCGTTTGGGAGCGCTAGGACTGGGGGAGTTAGGTAGCCCATACTTGGTACGGGCTACAGAGGTGTCCAGACTTCCTGTGGGCCAAGCAAAACGCCAAAAGGAAGAGCAAGGAGGAGGAGGCCGGGAGATCGTAGTATATCGCGATAGCCAGCGACCTCTGCTAGGGTTTCCCAGAGGGCCAGGCCTGGACCTCTGGGGCCTTCCTCCTTCCCTGATTCGCTGCCCGAAGATTTATTTCGTTGTAGGTCAGCTTGGGGTAGAGAGAGGAGGGGGTGGGTGGTGGGTGGAGGGGGTTCGTGGGGAAGACTTTCTGCATTCCCCGAAACATTTCTCTGCCCTCACTCTGGTTTAGGAAAACCTACCGGCTTATGGGGCTGCCCTAGGGCCTGGGTTGTGCTGTAGAGAGCAAGATCAGCGCCTCCCAGTCCCAGGACCAACACCAGCACCGGACTTGGGCTGTGCGTTTGGGGTGTGTGCGCGCGCCACCGGGGGCTCCCAACCAAGCTCCTACTGCGCCGCTGGCACCCCTTTCTCCCAGAAGGTGTGCTGGGGAGGGGGGGCTGCTCTAATCCGGACCCGAGCCCCCAGTATGGGGACTGCATCGCCGCGGAAATCTAGCAGATTAATACAATTTCACAGCCGCCCGGATGGAGGAAGCTGGCTGCATAATTGGAAGGCAAGGAGGGGGTGGAGGTGGGAAGGAGGGGGAGAGAAGGCTTGGACTGCAGCACTGTCTCCCCCTTCCCCCGTGCGCCCCCTCCCCTCCTTCCAGCCCCCATTCTTTGCCAAAGTCGGTGTCTACAGCTACCCCCGCATTTAATCAGCCATCCCGCGCCGCAGCGGCGGAGTCACCCGGCCTCCGCGGCCCGCTATGCCATTAGCGGACGAGAGCTCTCGAGTGGCCAACTTTATATTCAAGAGCCTCTCCAGCGGCCGCCACTTCTGCCTTCTCTGTATTCTCCGGCATGGTGTGCAAATATTGTCCTAATCCTCCGAGCCGTCCTCTCACCGTCTGCTTCCCCGGCATCGCTAGAGCAAGGCACTCCACCAAATCCCCCTGGCGTGAAGGTTTTCCCGCCTGCGTGGCTTCCCACCACTTTCTCTCGCGCACTTGATCACGGAAACACTCGCCTTCGTCTCCTTCGGGGACCAGGCTGCCTCCTCGCTCCCCCGATCTCGGGCGGGCTGCCCGGCTCATTCCTCCTGCCCAGCCCCCTTTCCCCCCTGCTCAGCGATTCTTTCTCCTTTTACTTTTCTCTTCCTCCTCCTCAGGCACCCGGCGCATTCACAAAATCTCAAAATTGAAATTTTAGGGAGCTCGGGGCTGAAGTGGAGACTCTCGAAACAATTTCGCGAGACACCTCCATTCCCAGAATCTTCCTGACGTTAGTTTTCAGTGACAAGTTTAGCTTCTTTAATTAGCTAAAATTGCATGAACACACACATACACACACACACTCACTCACTCACTCACACAGAACTCTCCTGACTGGATGAAGGAGCTTTACCGTGCCTTCCCCTTGCAAATTTGATTTTAGAGGGGGAACTTTGGGAAATAAATTCTTTGCACCCCTTTCTCTAAGCAGCTACTGTCTCTCGTTCAAGGCGATAAGGGCGTGTGGTGCGGGCGTCTCTCTGAAAACCCCAGAGTTTGGGAGTCTGGCCGAAAAGTTTTAAAATGAAATCGTTCTCCTTTCGTATAGCTTTGGGAGCAGGCCCAGAAGGGAGAGTTTTCTAGCGCTACTTTCTTTCGGGGAAGAAATACAGAAGCCATCATCTGTGTGATACTGCCCCCAGAACATTCACTGTGGATAATCCCCTAAGATAAAATGTTTTGTAAAATAATCTTCGTGGTTGAAATTAAAATCGAAAACCAACATAGAGCGGAGTGGCTGGGTCTGGTGAGGGCGGAGAACGTCGCAGGGAAAATAAGTGAAATTGGATAAGGAGGTGAAATTTACTAGCAGCTGAACCTTCCCAGGGTTGAGGAGGGGGGAAAGAAAGTCTGAGAGGGTGAGGGGAGTGAAGCCGAAACCCCTACGGCAAGGAAAAGGACTAGGACATTGACAAGTGGAGATCCCAGGAAAGTTCCCAGGTCCCAGCGACTCCCGGGGACCGATGGAGGGGAAGGCTCATTCTCTGCAGTCTGGGGACGCCACCCGTTCTCTGCAGCCACCACCGTGGTATGCCCTTCGAGACAGTCGGGTCCCCGAGGACAGAGAGAAAGGGTGGGTTGTCCGGAAAGGAGCCGAAGAAAGTAGAACCCAAGTGGCCTTACCTTCCAAGGGAAATCCGGTCCGAGGGTAGTTCTGTCCTGGAGCGGGTCTCATCATTCTCGGTACTGTGCCGGGGAGAGCCGCCATTCTGGGCACGCCAGGGACAGGTCCGGAGTCCTCAGAAATCCTTCCTGTCTTCTCTCTTTTCCCCCCACTGTGAGCTCTTTCTTCCCGTCTCTCTCCCTTTCTCCTTTTTTAAAAAAAACCTCTCCCCCATCCACCCCCACACACTCCCTACCCCCCACCCCACCCCCGGCTGCAGTCAAACGCGTCCAGAAGCTGGGAAACGGGGGGGGGGGGTGAGGTGGGGGCGGGGGTGGTAAGGAAGTTAAAACAAACAAACCCGACCCAAGTCTCCCTCGGTCCCTCTCCACCAGAAGTTGTAGGGGTAGAGGTGGGGAGTCAGAGCTGGAAGCCGGTACTGTGAAGATGGGGGAAGGAGGAGGGGTGGGAATCCTGTTCCCCCCCCACCAGCCCCAGAAGAGCTAAGGACACCAGCTTTCGCACTAGGGGCTAAAGTTTCTAAGCTGAGGCTGCGAAGCGGATTTCTTTGCGGTTATTTATTTCTCTTCTCTTCTCTTCTCTTTTCTTCTCTTCTCTTCTCTTCTCTTCTCTTCTCTTCTCTTCTCTTCTC